TCACCTAGCCATACCCTTACTGGGATTAGAACCTGTGGGTATGGTTAGCTGATGAGAGCTAAATAGCTTGAAATAGATCTATACTAGTCTCCCTTTATTTATCAGCACAAATACAACACACACACACACACACACACACATAATCTGTAAAGGCTGATATCATGGATTCCATTGCAAGTTTTTTTAGTGGAACTGGCAGGACTCTATGAATATGTATTTTCTCATTGCAAGAGATACTAAAGGTCCAATGATTGTTATTACTTTGCAGTATGTCATCAAAGCTTATCAAAACATTGTTTAATGCTAAAAAGTAAATGTGAATGCTCAAAGCCATCTCTCTCTCCTCTCTCCATCCATCCATCTATCTAAACTTCCTTTCTTTTCATCAACTTGATCTCCATGCATTCTCCTTTCTTTTCATTCACTTGATCTCCATTCCATCCATGCATTTTTTCATGTTTTTATCTCAAACCTGTACTGAGAAGTATGCTACAGTTGTAAAACAATAGACAATATTGACAAAAATATTGCAATAGGCAGGACCTACAGTTCAGGAACAATTCAGTAAAATTTCTTGCATTACATTACACAGTAAATAACTACACAAAGAAACTACATATAAACAATAATTTCTTCTGATTTCAAATTTTGTATATGTAAAAGTAGCATGTAGCAGTTTTCAAAATGATGTGGATGCTATGAAAGAAATCTTTTGGAAATAAAACAGCTCCTTTATTTAATTTTCAATTAACTTGTATATCCATTGTAATCAAATAATTGTCTTGAGTAAGTTAAGAGTAACCTACAAGTGTTACCCGTCAATGTTGAAGTTTAGGTTGCACTCCAAATTAGCAAAAGTGGTTGTCACTAACTCAGCTTGTAGGAGAGGGTCAAAAGGCAGAGAGAGAGAAAAATGCCATTCTTTCATTCACAAAATCTTCCTCTCTCCCTCTTTATCACCTCTGAAAAGGAGAAGGAATCTGTACAGGTATTTTCCTCTGCAACCCATAGTTAACCCAACTGTTGCAGAACTATGAACTGCAGATCAGAGCTACATGACTGATATTCCATTGACAGTTACCTCTACACCTTTTTAAGGATCCATGCAGGAAGGCAAAGAAAGGATTTCAGCAGGGGTGGAGAAGAAAGAGGTGACTCATCAGGAACAGCTGGTCCTTACCTTTAAGATCAGATCCGTATGATGTTGGTCCAGCATGTTCGCCTTGACAAAGGATGTGATGATGACTCTGCCGTATCTCCCTGGGGTCTGCAGATCGGAATACAGCCGGTGCTTGGACCGGTTCACCGGGAAGAGGCTATTGACTAGGTTCCTCTCGATCTTGGCCAGGCTGTGTTTGGGGGCCAGCAGGTGTTCCACGCTCTCCTCGATCTGGTACTTGCTGAAACTGGCCCCCAGCAAGATGGAGATGAGCACGGGCGCAGAGGCAAAGAAGACCGGGTGGCTGGCAACGAAGTGGCCGAGTCTGGCGAAAGACGTTCTCAGCCCTCTGTGCAAAACCTGCCGCAACATTCTAGTGCAGAAGCAGCTCAGGAGGGCGAGGTGCGCACGACGGAATCTGAAGCTCTCCCAGAGCCCAGGCAAAACCATTGGGGAGCCCAGGCAGGCGGGAGCTTCCCTTGTGGGCTGAAATTGACCGAGCAGGTAACCCGCACTCCCCCTTTCTGCGCGGTGAGTGCTAAAGCTCTTCGCCTCCCTCCAGGCTGCCGAAGGGAGTTTCCCGGCGCCCCATTGTCTGACTTTAAACAACAACAGAGATTCCGAAAGGGAAAAGGGCGTGAGCAAAAATAAAATAAAAAACAAAAAATAAAAATAAAAACTCGAGGGTGGGGTTGTTGGTAAGCGAGGAAGCCAAGATCTTATTGATGGCAAAATCTATTTATTTTCTCCACTTATGGTGGCAGCTCTTTCTGCCAAACCAAGTGGGTGGGTAAGGATTGTTTACCCAGGAAAGATATGGAGGAATACAGAAAGGGGGGGGTGTCGGTAGACACACTTGCTGACTAACTCAGTTAAGCACAGAACAGAGCTCCTGAGACCCTGGGGCTACGGCTGACTACATCTGCAAAACTGAATGGTTGGCTTTCCTCCCCCACCCGCGCCTCTAATCGAGGCCAGGAAAGAGACTCGCCCCTTCCTCAGCCACAATCCCGAGAGTGGGAGAGATTTGCCGTTTCAAAGCCCTCGCCGCCGCCAACACCACTAAGGCTGCGCCGGAGTTCAGGGGCAGTTTCTTTGCCGGCTTTTTCATGACAGTTATTAAGCTGTACGAGAGGCTGGTGGCTCAGAACGGGCGACTAGGCAGAAGAGCGCCTTCTCGCCCCATCTTCCCAGGCTCATTTCCGGCACTGGGATCTGGAGGGTCGCACCGAATTAATATTAAACAAGATAACACAACCCCTTTCCTCCCACAGTGTAGGCAATTTAGCTGGAAATCCCGGCTGCTGACTGTCAATTACCGGTGGCCAATCCTTTAATCGGAGCTTCCTTGTTCGCTCGGGGTTGCAGTTTCAATGAAACTATCGCGCAACTAGGATGGCTGTAATTGTTATTACTTTAAAAAACGACCAGACCCTCCTTCAGGTGAGATCCATGTCAGCGCCGCCGGCATGTCCCATCCAAGCGAAATAGCTGCTGCCCATCAATGTCGGAAGATCAGCAAGGAAAAGGGGCGAGCGAACTACCAACCGATTCCTGACGCATGGCAAAGTTTTCGAGTCTCACCTTTGAAGCAATCCTCGAAGAAGCCCGTTTGGGAGAGGTGGACTTATTCGCACGCAAGCGAACGTGGCTCCCATTGTTTTCCGACCGGAGCAGCGCAGAGATACAGTTTTGTGTATTTCATTGGTTTCAAGCGATTGCTCTTCTTTGTCAACGCATAGTGAGGATTCGGCGGTTTAAATGCCAAGAATCAGAAACGTCTCGGCAATTCCACGAATTCCCCTCTCTTACTTCCCTCCCACTTGCTACGTCTGTCTGTCCGTCTGCTGCTCCCCCCCCCTTCTTCTTTTCGCACCGATTCTGTCTGCCTCCCTCTTTCGATGCGACGTGGGTTCAATGGTCTTGCTGCTGCGAGAGAAGACACTGCCCAATCCCTTGCCTAAATGGGCATGTGCGAATGCTTTGCACATGCTCATTAACACAGTGACGCCGCACAGAAGCCGGTGCCCTTAATACTTTGCCCGGAGATTGCCTAAAATCCCCGCTTTTCTCTCCAAGAAAAAAGGTGCTATCAGACAGACGGAGATTGGAAATTAGTATTTGGGCAGATGAGCGCTTCTGTACGCCGTCCAAAAGCAAAGCAGTAGAAATGGGTCTTGAGAATTGCCAAACAAGTAATACTGTTGTTGTTACTACTACTACTACTACTACTACTACTACTACTACTACTACTACTACTACTACTACTACTACTACCACCACCACCACCACCACCACCACCACCACCACCACCACCACCACCACTACCAAACAACAATATCCAATGTCCTTGTGAAAGACTCCATAGGTGGATAAAAATGCTAAATCTAGTCTAACCATCTGGCTGACTGTGCAATGAATCATAATAATATAAATTGTGGTTAAAAAGATACAATATGACATTCCAGGTTCACGGAAAGAACTCAGTGTGTATGACGGTGAACACAAGCTAAAGAACTGGCAGCTGTTGTAAAATAATAATAAAAATAAAAACCACAAATATCATTGACTGATGCGGATGGTTGATATGGATTGCTGCCAGTATCCTAGGTATCTTCTTAAAATGTATGATGTCTGCAGTTTTGCAGTTTTGCAGTTTCACTACTGTTATTGCATGAAGCTGCAATTTGTTGATGTATTTTATAAAATTCTTGGACATGGTACCAAGTGCTCCAAAGACAATGGGTATCACTGTTGCATGTTTTATCCATAATCATTTAGTTTTGATGGCCAGATTGCAATATTTCATCATTATTTTCCAGTTCTTTTTATTTGACTCTGGCATTTCTGGAAACAGCGATATCAATAAATTATACGCTTCGGTTTTTGACAACTGTGATATCTGGCATGTTGTGCTCCAAATGACGTATTTGAAAGTCCCTCAAGATCTTCACCTTCTCATTTTCGATAACTTTTTCCACTTTATGTTCCCATGACTTCATGGATACAGGTAAATCATATTTTTTACATAGTGACCAGTGGATTAATTTAGCAACTTGATCATGTCTAGCTTTGCAATCAGTTTGTGCAATTTTGCTGCATTAACATATTAAATGTGAAACAGTTTCAACTTTGTCATTGCAAAATCTACAGTTTGGATTGCCAGTGGATTTTTGTATCTTCGCTTTCATGGCATTAATTTGTAGAGCTTGTTATTGAGCAGCAAGTATTAAAACTTTCATTTCTTTCTTGATGGTTCCCATCTTAAGCCATACCCATGTCAAGTTGTTATCACATTTTCCTTCAATGTTTTTCAAGTGCTGTCCATGCAAACCTTTGGTTTTTCATCCATTTAATTTGTCTTCCAGTTGTTGTTTTTCTTATATTATGCCTTTCTTTCTGTTGTTTTTATAATGTTCTCAGTTTTCACAGTCTGCAGCAATTTTTCTGTACTTTGATTCACATAGTCATTCAAACTTTATTTTTCTTCTTCTACAGTTTGATGGATTTTGCAATAGCTGTCTACCCCCTATTCTTCTTGGCAGATACCACTTCATGTAGATATTCAAAAGTTTATGCATTTTCGGATCCAGAAAATGGTTTTCCAGTTTAGCCACAGTCCAGTTGATAATTCCAGCTGGGTAGCGTATCACTGGAACTGCCCATGTATTAATGGTTTTAATTATGTTTTTAGCATTCAGTTTTCATTTTAATGTTTTGTGGACCCTCCAGATGTATTCCTTTTGTGTTCATTCTTTGACTTGTCCATTCAATTTGTTATCTACTCCCAACATGCCTAGATATTTGTAGCTGTCATTCTTTGCTAATGCTTTCATGATACTTCAATTTCCCTGTTCTATTCCTTCTACTTTTTTCATTTTTCCTCGCTGCATTTTTTGTTTGTTTCATGTTTAAAAAATAGAAATAAAAATAATATTCAAATGCAGCAAAATTACTGGGAACACCAAATTGACAAAATTCTTGAAAATGAGAAATCAAGATCCTGTGAGACTTTTGGATCCAAACACACAGCCCCCAACATACCTGACATTACTATTATGGAAAAGGAAAAAGTCTAGTTCATTGATATTGCTGTTGGAAGAAAAATCCACCTGGTTCAGTTCCAAGCCAGGATTAATATTTTATTAATATTATTATTAGGGAACAAAATATCTCTATTATGAAAGTTTTGTTCCAGGGCTCCCTGTCTTCAGGAGGTCTGTCAGGGGTTTGGGGATCTTCGCAAAGGAGGGGATGAATTGCCTATAGAACTTTGCGAACATGAGGGGGAGGAGCCAAAGTCACGACGAGATGGTTGTGTGGTCTCAATGCTCTGAGACCACAGCCAATACTTTTGCCACTGGGTGGTCCCAATGAACCTAAACCATCCTGAAGAGATGGTGAACAGGATTCCATAGTGAATTTGCCCTTGATCATCTCTTAATTGCAATATTTTCTTTGATTCTCTCTCTTTTTTCAATTTATACGCCAACCATCTACCTGGTTTGCTTGCATTTTCAAAGTAGTTCTGTTTAGCACCTCTAATTTTTTGTTCCAATTCCTCCTTTTCCAATAGATCCATTTTGTGCTTATTTATGTCCATTTTTATTTTAGTGTCTTTTTTGTGTGGGGATGTCTGTAACTCTTTTTCAAGAGCTTTGTAGTCATTTTCTAAACCTTTAAAATTTTGTCTTTTCTTTGTGTTTCTCTTTCTTGTATAGTCTATTATCAAACCATCTGGTGAAGGCCTTCATTGTATCCTAAAGGCGATGTATCTTCTTTTCTATTTTCTTTGAAAAAGAAAGCCAATTCTTTTTCCACTTTCTGTTCGAAATTCTTCTCTTTTAATATGGTATTATTTAATATCCATCTAGATCTTATCCTTTGGCCTTTCAATTTAATTATAATTGGATTGTGATCTGCCCAGATACTTGTTTCAATCTCAATTTCCTGTACGTTACAAGTCAATTCCATTGTGACCCATACCATGTCAATTCTGGAACATGATAAATGTCTATTTGATTAAAAAGTATATAGTTTTTTTATAGTGTTTCTTTCTCTCCAAACATCTTTTAAATTTATTTCATCTATCATCTTGAAAAAGGATTTTGAGAGTGGTTTTCTATTACCTCTCTCCTCCATTCCTGATCCTCCTTCCTACCACCAACAGGAAGGTAGGCCTCTTTCCTTCCCTCCCATTTCTGATCCTTTCTTCCTACCACCAAGCAGAAAGGTAGTCCTCTTCCCCCACCCCCTCCATTCTGGATCTTTCCTTCCTACCATCAAACAAGAAGGTAGGCCTCTTTCCTGCTATGGCTGGGCTTGGACAGCTATCTGGTGCGGTTCCTACAGTTATGATATTATCATCTTTGAACCAGTAGTGGCTTAGCACTGAGAACCAACCCAGGAACCTACCATCTCTAATGATGAGGAGAAACCAACAAAATTCCTCTTTGGATCGGTCATCGCCCGGGTCAACAAGGACCATGTCAGATGCTATGGCTCCTGGACATCTGTTGAAAAAGGGGATACAGGGCTCAGTTGTTACTGCCAGGGAACCAAGGTGTGCAACTGCAAAGTGACTAGAACCAAAGCGCAAACTTGGACAACCAAAGAAAATCGACAAATCCTCAAATATTACTATCAGTCAGAACCAACAGCCAGGGGATTTCAAAAAAGAATGATGCAAGTGTGGAAGGAACAACACCTGGAAAGTGACATAACTGAACAAAGATTAATGGATCAAAGGTGTTTCATCATCTGTAATAAAGTTTTCACAGAAGTTGAAATGCAACATCTAGAAATATTGGCTAAAAAGAAAACAACAAGTGATGATGAACAAGCTGAAGAAATTGGTCCAACGCCTCAACAAATTGACCAGCCAGTGGAAGAAATAGCAGTTAGACTTATATACCGCTTCATAGG